CGCACACCCAACCATTAACTCGCTAAGCCCATCTCAGAGATATTCAAAATAAAGCAAGAGGTTAACAGGAGGCTTCACAAATGAGGGGGTGATTATCGCTTCCCTCTTTCAGCCTCTAACGACAGCAAGCTCATTAACTTTGGGAGATTTAGAAGCATAAAAGCATCAATTAAGGCTTCTCGAATGACGTCACCCTATTTGAATGATCATGTGTTTTTATACAGAAATTTTGAAATTTGTTTATACGTTGAATATGGTTAAATAAACAGTTTCTGATTCTGCAATTTCATAAAAACAGCGTCAGTACTTTCAAAGCTTATCGATGAAAATTATACTAATCCGCAAATGATACTTACATATGCTTATTTCAAAGCTTGCTTTATGTGTTTTTTAGTAACAAATGATTTTGTGTAAAAAATTCGTGACACTAAAATGAAACAATTTCTTCAATAGAAAACTTTTAATAAACAAAATATATGTAATAAAGTAAATTTTGCAAATACTATAACATCACTATCAGTAAATATAAAAATTCATGTCACTAGTAAAAATTTCAAAAAGTCTTTGGTTTTATTAATATTTGGCTTAAATACATAATTCCTTTTTATTGTAGGTAAATAATGCGCACTAATTACAAAAATCAAATGAACAATTAAAATACGTATTTTTAAGAATAGAAGGTATCATTAATAACGTATACTTATGTCTAACGATTTCTATTATTACAAATAGTTATTAATAATTTCATAATCACATCTCACTTTACAAATGCAAAATCACCTGACCCGTTTTTTTTTCTCATACGAAATGAGTTTACCTGCAACTCAGTTAATTGTTCAGCAACCCCCAAAATTATCCGCCCCTTCTCTCTCCTACGATAATCCACAATATGAAGTACGAACCAATTTTAAAACCATTAAAATTACAAACTCTAAGGTTAAGGAACAAGGTTGATAATATCTATATTAAATTTTCCTAACTGCAGCATAAGCGTGTTTACTCTCCACCAAAAGACCACAAACAAAACACAGATTCTAATAATAGAATTGTACGAGTACGATCCTTAAGCAACTGTGATAAGGATGAGATTATTCTATAAGGATTTTACCAAATGTAACAAACGTTGTGCCAAATATACAGTTTGGGTGATGCAACAAGTGTACAGGGTAACAAAAGGAACGATTAGGGGTGATTTATACATGCCTTTTATTTTCCACCCTCAACTTCTATTTAGAAGATTTTGTAACTGAAATTCCCACACTCGAGTCTGCAGGGGTCGCTGAGATTTTTTTCCTAGCGTAACGATCTGATTTGATAGATCGAAATCACTAGATTTATCTAAGATACCACATTTTTTTTAAAACTTCTGTGTTTTTTTTGCATATATTTCTCCAGATAATATTCTGGTACTCTCATCCTGTCTTTATTTATTTATCATCAACAAGTTTCAATAGCGTTTTACACAATATAATGTAATATAAATTTTTAAACGGTACTTTAGCCAATTACAGAAACTCACTTTGTATTACTTAAATTCAAAAATTAAAATGATAACGTAGCGTGGAAATTAAAAATTAACAATAACATAAAATAAAAGAAATACCGACAAAGATTCAAATTAAATTTGCGATAAATATAAACCTGTATAAATCAAAAAAATATAATTACTGTCTTTAATATTCCATACACTGCCACCCTTAAAGAATACAATGAAAGTGTACAAGAAAGGTACTTTTGATTTTAAGAAAAGCTCAATAAGTTTGAAATTGATTATTTATAACCTTCTTGTCGTAACTATGATCTCTTGCTGGGTTAGCAAGAAATCAAGAGTGCAGCTTGTGAATATGAGCTAACCTCAACTATGCCATATTTTGAATTAGTCAGAAACCATAGTAAGAATTTGCCAGCCCACACCTTCTTTTTCTTCTTAACAGCTAGCAATTACATAGTCCACACTTCAAACCAGTTTCAGTACTGCTGTTCTGAAACTTATGTTTTTCTTGCGCTCCCAGTCCAATTTTTAATACAAAAGCAAATTTATTAATAAAAGCAAAGAATATACATCCCAATTTACACACATTATTAATACATATTATAAGAGCCGAAAAGCTCTAAAAATACATTATTAATTCCACAAAGAATACATTTATAATTATTATTGAGGATGGATCAAAACGCACAAATTTTATAAGTGCTCTAATGCTATAGGAGTACAGGTCGTCATCATGAACCTGATTAAGTGCCAGCTTTTTCTCAAAAATGTCATCGATTCACCATTCAGTGTCAGCCGATGTTTTCTGAAGAATGTCACCATACAGTATCATCCAGTGCCAAAAATTTCAGAACCTCTGCATTTGCAATTTGTATTTACCAGTAGGGTTTCTTTATAGTTCTTCTTTCGTTGGTTTTACTGCTTTCTTATTCCCATAGCAAACATCCATAACTGACTGTAAAAACTTCATCAATGGTAGCTTCTTCTCCGTCATTAGCGTTAGTAAGACTTTTGCGAAAATTGGCTATCTATCCTCAACCACCTGAAACTAAATGCGATTACTGTCATTCAACGTGTACTTTCTCCTAATACAGTTACAATATTTGTTCGTTACTAATATAATGACCGGATATATCACAATAGCTTAGGATTGAAACCTGCTATTTATTAAGTCATCCTGCCATAGTCTGACAATATTCGACTCCCAGCAACTATGTAATTGCAATGCCATTGTGAAGTCTGATGCCTACCTAAAACAAATTTATCATGTGATATTCAAAAGAGCAAGTGAAAAAAATCACAGCTCCATGACCCCACATTCCTTGGGGTGAATACGACAAGTGCTGAACCAAACAATGCATGAAGGGGCGCGGGAGCAGGGTAAGCCACCCTAAAACCAACCTCCGCAATCTATGCACTTGTCACGAGGCGTATACAGACACAATAGACAAACTTTTTAAATGACGCAAACTGTCTTCTTCTTCTACCGACCGTTCCTTTGAGTCATTGTTGGTTTTTGCAACTCCAAAACCGTGGGAAACGTCCTCGAACGAAATGATATACTGCCCTCAAAGAGGACTGTTAAAAACGTTTTTTTCTTAATTTTCAAATGGAGATGAAACTGCGAAATAGAGACTCCTCTTGCAACTTTGACAGTGCATCCATATTTATTAAGCTCGCTAATCTGTTTGGAAACTACTCATAACTGTACTGTCATTATCTTTAGGAATAATCAATATGCATTAAACATACTTACACTTTGGAAGCCCCCACAAATCTAAAAAACATCCATAAACTCATTAGTAATCAGCTACTATCTAAAACTCTCCCACGCAGCCCTTAATCGCTACCATTATCTCAAAATGAAAATTCAACCCCTAACAAATCTTACCCTAATAATCTCAAAATGCATCTAATAGACATTTAATTATAGACCTGGCCGAGTTCCACTGACCCCTTTTACACTTGTTTACATCTTCATCCCTTCACCCCTCAAACGCGATGAGCCATCAAAATAGAATGTTTAATTCCAATATCCCATACGATTTATTATAACAAAGCAGAACGGGAATGATCCACGCTTGCCATCTGTCGCCGTTCCGAATCTCGCATCGCCGAAAAAAACTCAATGTGCGCGCAACCCTGGGAACCTAGGAGCGCAGAGCATTCCCACGAACAACCCCTCAAATTTCAATAACCAAATTAGCCTTTGCGTTACCCTATTTTGGATATGAGGGAGTCGTGAATCTATTCATATCGATAAAAAATATTACGTCTCCTTCTCCCGCATAAGCCTCGTGCGTATGTTCATCCCCTTCGAATGCACGTGTTCAATGATCGTATATTTAAACTGACATCGTATGTGTGCGAGAGCCTTCGGATCGTAACACCTGCCGGCGCGAGCGCACCCCATTGGCTGAGAAACCACTATCACCGCTACACTGATTTCTTTTGAACTTAATTTTTTTGTAATACTCTCTTCGGACATATTATAAAAAAATCTACATGTTTGAACCGGTACGGACTGGATATTTTGTGTGTAGGTGGGCATTTTATATTTTATAATTCTTTTTGTAAACAAAATGCTAATGAACTTTAATAAAAATTATTCAGATACCAGATTGAAGATGGGGATCAAGTTATACCGACCGGCATTACCTCATTGTTGAACTATATTTTTATGTTTCATATTTTATTCAAACCAATCAACAAATTAAAATTAAAACAAATGTAAACGATAAAGAAACACTTTACTCTGTGACAAGTTGATGGGGTCACGCGACTTGCGTGCGCGCAGCACGGGTCACACAGGGGTCGTTTACACCCTAGGGCGTGACTTAGTGACCCCGAGGGGACGGGGCGATTACAATCGCATTGTTGAACTCGAGTAAAGAGCTAATGAGCGCCATGTGGTGTGTTCACCCGATTGTAATGTCGAGCGTGTGGACGGCACGTGGACAGATTTCCCATGACCAAATATTTGTTGATAGTAACTGTCTCTGAACGTCAATTTTGTTTATTCATGATTTATATTTTGGTGCAGGATTCTGTTTTTATCATTAGTATGTGGACTTGTTTGAAGTATTAAAAAATATCCTCCCTAGTAGACTAGGTAATGATTTTGGTTTGGTCTGGCACTTACCTTTTTTTCCTTAAAGCTTAAAGATACACTTCTACCACTTCAAACCAACAACATGACAAAAATTAATTAACCTTTAGAACATTGAATATTTTATAATGCACCCTTTTACTACATCGCTACTATTTTTCTTACCTCTTTACAATGTTGACAAAACACCCCAAGATATTGTTAAACGCTAAAAGCATTGGGGTATCGAATAAACCACTCGATACACCCACACACTCGCAGGGAGTTTTTCACTCTTATAGCGAGCTTTTTTGTTGGGGGCGGCGGACCAGGTATATAAGGCGCGTCGGCCGAGCAGCCCCACATTCCCGCCTGTGATCTCACTCGCAACACACGCTCTCTCTTCTATAAATTTTCAACATGTCTTATTACGCTAATAACGAATACATCATCGCGACCAACAACTCGATCAACGAGAACAAATACAACACGGAAAAGATGAAGAACACTGGCCTGAAGGCGCTACTGAGACCACTAATGAAGATCATTAAGAAGTCGACGAAACGCGTTCCCGCCAAATGCGACACGTGCTACGAGGACGAACAGAACTCCAGCAACGAAATGTTGGAGCGCAAAATCTACTCGGAGATGGAAACGTGCGCGCCTGGAGCCGCGTTCCTCGTCTGCAACGAGGACGAAACTTGCAATATCGTGCCAGTGAACCCTGATAACTTCTACGTACCCGTGCACTTCGCCCGGACGGAAGCAGGCACCTTTTTCTGGACCACAGTCACCAAACAAGACGCCGACTTTGCCGCCTCACATTGCTACACCGAGTGCCAGACCGCGGAACAGCAATACCCCGTCTACCAAGATCGTTGGGTGCAAGCTTGAATTCTCCCATGAAACACGAATCCAGTGTCTTCCGCGAAACCAGTGCGCTTCCGTTGGTTTCCCTGCAACCGTCTGTGATGTTAGCTTTAATTCTCCAGTGCCATGTTAGGATAAGTTAGGGTTAGGTGTCACGTATCACGTGCGTAGATCCTCGAAAGCTTTAATATTTCCCAATGTGATATTTTGAATATGTTGTTTTGTATAATTTAATTGTTAGGATTAACGAGCTCAACCTTTGTATTGTATAAAGAATGTTAGGGCTTAGGACGCTTAAATTGTGATTGTCTTACAAGCTTTATTTGTTTTAGTAATAAGAGTTTATTTATGTCAAATGGTCTTCCATGAAATGAATGATTATGTAATAAAAATCACATGCACATACAATTCCATATCTTTTACTTTTCACATTCCCCTACTTTGAAAAAACAAAGGTTTAAACATTGATTGGATGGATTTTAAACAGTAGTTAACTTTGAATCATTGTATATGTTCAGCAATAAAAAGAAATGAAATCTAGTTACCAGTAAAAGAAACTTGTTGCCTTTTCTGGTTGGTACAGCACACTTGTTTGTGCACGTAGAAAAAAGCAACTTACAGTAATGCAATAAGAGTCATAGTCTTTTGTTTTTGTTGGTATCAAAGTGGTCGAGCAGGCTGAGCTCGCGCCAATTCTTTGTACGGCGCCCGCACGTGCATCGCCCGCGGCCGCCGCTACCGGCCTTTTGATTGTCGCTTTTTGTTCCACTTGATAATTATTTGAACTCAGCTTTTAGACGTTCTTGTAAGATTCGAACTTCGTAGCGACGATACGCGAGGTCGTATCAGGGCGCATTGGAACTGGAACGAGACGTAACACTTACTTTGTGTTATGTAGAGCTTTGCGTTACTGTCAAGTGAGGCAAATTATATTGCATGGAGTATAAGAGCTTCATTCAAGTTTATTTTAAATGATTAAGCAAAAAAATACTAAATACACAGCTAAAATTGCAATTACCAACCTAAGTTTATTAAATGATTGATTACCAAAATATTACTAAATACACAGAAAAAACTTCAATTACCAACATATCAATATACAACTGAATTTCTTGTTATGCATTTATTATTTTTTTTGACCTAAATTAAAATAGTTTTCTTTGATACTTTCGAAAAACAGTATCGATGCATATAATTTTTTAATAATACATATAACCAATTTATACACTATTGAATTTAATAATGTAATTTCACTCATACGTATTAAATAATGCCTGTAAAAAGAATGTCGTATTAAATAGCCCCATCTCAACGTAGCCATACATAATGATGAGAATATTACGAACCATTAAGTTTTTATGATTAGGTACTATAAATTCGAATTGAAAGTATTTAAATGAGGTAAATGGTGACTTAAATACACTATACAACTTTCCCTTACATGATTTTATTTCTGAGCCGTTATCCGTTAAGCAAAGAAATCGTCAACTCAGATCAGCAAGCTTCTTCACAAATAAACTTTTAAAAAGTTCCGAACAAGTTCCAACCTGTCCTGCCAAGACGTGTCACAACTTGTTTTTCTCCAAGTAAATACATTTAATAAAAACTTTTTGCACAATAGCGTGCCGACTACTTTTCACAGTACAACTCCATAAAGACTACAATAAAAATGGACCATTCAATAACGCACGTGCGAAATCCCTGTCAATAATAAATTAAAAGAAGGACAATACTCATTCTCCTTAAATAATGCACACTCAATTTTTACGAATGCCAAAACCAAAAAATCAAACTGACAAATTCTTTATTCAAATTGGAAGCATAATACAACTCTTTTGAATTGTCCAACATCTCAAATACGGAAATCGGCATGCCGTTAATGAAAAAAAAACCCAACGAGCTTATTAATTATGTAGCACTGAAATATTAAATTTTCCTTGTAGTATTTCCTTAACAAGTCGTGTAACGTGTAGTGACAGATATCTTAAGTTATATAGCCCGGTCAAGAATTGAAAAACACGCATGCACTATTAGTATTTTTACTCATTTAGGTATTAGTAATTGTAACAGCAAGCCCACAAATGCCAAAAATGTTAGTTATCATTCTTTGCAACACAAAAACTACAAATACTTTACACATAAACATTCATACAACTTCATGCCATATATCCTTAATTGAGTTGACAGAGCATTAGGAGTATGGTAGAAATGAATATAAATTTTATTAATAATTAATAAAACTCCCATCAACCCGAAACCTCAAAGATAGGCTAAAGTTGCTACTAGGAAAAAAATAAAGCGTTAAAATTACGGAAGCTTAAAAATATACATTCAAAACAAATGTATTAAATACATTTTATATTAAAACGGTAATCGATATTATCATACTAAAATCAATGAATATAACTTTCATTAACTGGAATATATTCTATTTGAACACACAAATAAACACTATGAAAAACAAGCGCAGTGCAAACGGTATCTACAAGAAAATATTATGCTAAACACCACGCCATCCATGCCATTGATTACAAATTATCTCTCCGCTGCGATCCCGCTAGCCGTCGCAATTAACGTACAACACTCATATTACTCGGGCACCACAGATAGCAAACTTGTGCGGCATAATAATACCATACGGGCGACGGAGTCGTGAGAAATTTGGGCAGATGTACAATTCCTTGACGCGATACGAAGAGTGAGCGCTCATGTCGTGTTTTTTTTTCTCGGAGAGAGGACTTTAATAATACGCGGTCCGTATCGCGACGAGCGAGCGTAGCGCGGCCGTGACTCATCGTCATCGCCGCCATTGTTCGATGCACGTGTTCGATGCATCGGATCGGACTGTCGGTCGGACGCTCCGGTTATTATTATACGATGAAAGGATTTTTTGCAACCCTTCTTAGCTTCGATTTCGCAACTCTTGCAAAATTTGGGTTATTTCATTTTTTTTGAGTAAGTATATAGGTAGGGTGCAAACTAATTTTCTTTCGAGTACACGTGCGATACAATCGGTCGCCTTTTGGGCATTCCAAATTATTATTATTGCACGCAGCTTTCTTTCGCTCATTGTCTGAACACGTGCAATTTGAAAAAATAAGATCGGTTATAATCTGTACAGGACGGAAATTGAATATGTAAATCGGTGTCTATGGTTAATTGAAGATTATGCTCGGTTAAATGCTTAATTCGTTTTCAATTGCAATTAAACGCAAAGTGTTGATGGAGAGTGGCTGATAAGGGCTGTTAGGTACTGCCATGCTTAAGTGTGTCGTTTCGGTTTTTAACTTAATGCCTACATATAATAAACTGCAAAATTAAAAAATATTGTTCACATATTATTTTTTTCGTTAGTGCACTATTAATATCTATGATTACTAATATGACTTGGCTTAGACTTTCATGGTCACTAACATTATAGTAATAATATTTCCGCGTTACTCCGTGATCATGGCGCTTGCAACAGTGCCGAAATATCGGAAACTCGCTAAAAACAAGGTACATGGTAACAATCCCGTAAATAACTTATATTACTATAATGACTTGGCTTAGGTACAAACTTTTTTATGAGTTACCCATACCAGATACCTTAATTAAAAGTATAGTTTATTTATAATTACATTAAAGTTTATGCTGCCTTTTTTATAGAATAGCATTAGAATAAGACTAAGGACATTTAAGTTGATTATTATTTACTAATTGATCGTTAATATGTTTAATTCATTCATTGTTTAACAATTACATTTTGCATTCTGGCATTGCCTTTCTAATTTTACTTTTAGCTTATACCGTGAAAAGAGTTATCATAATGTTACGTATTCTTTTCAAGCTGAAGTTATATGAGTTTGAAGAGATATTAATCGAAAAAGCAATGTAAGTAAACACCTATTTGAAAAACGAGTAATGGAGCCTTGTAGCCCTTTAGTTGAAAGAAGCGTGTAAGGTCGCCCCGTTATAGAGTACAACTAGAATAATAACAATAAACCACCTGTGCAATAGTTTTTTTCGAAGAGATGATATCATCATGTTTGCTCAGATGATAAAGTGTAATCAAGTCAATACACGACTTGCGTCAAACGTATGAGCTGGCGAAATTGCTATTAAGGCTCCTATCACCGATATACTACCATGCGGCTGAAAAGCTTTTGATTTCATTTTTGAAATACACAAATTATAATAGGTAAACCGGGAAACTTTCCCAGGTGGGAGAATTAGTGTTCATTGGTCACATGCGAGACGCCAATCACAACAAAACAGTCTAGCATGTTCGCAATAAACAAATTGAAAAAAAAAATGTTTGAGCTAAATTTAAATACGATTTTAAAATTTTATTATTTTTAAAGCATGTAACTGCTTGATGTTTAAATCTAAAGAAAATATAACTAGAAAAAAATCCACGCGGGCCAGGCAGCAGACGGGACTCGAACCCGCACCCTTCGCAATCCGGGCGAATGCACTGACCAATTATGCTACCGCGGCCCTCACGGACCGCGTCGAAATCTTTCTAGGCATTCTTAAGCTGCAAGGCAGCGCCATCTCTTCGCATTGTAGGTAACCCACAATGTCAAATGAATACTTTTACAAGTATTAAACGTTTGAAAGAAGAAATAGCAATTATAGTTATAATTTTATTATTTTTAAAGCATGTAACTGCTTGATGTTTAAATCTAAAGAAAATATTCTTCTTTCAAACGTTTAATACTTGTAAAAGTATTCATTTGACATTGTGGGTTACCTACAATGCGAAGAGATGGCGCTGCCTTGCAGCTTAAGAATGCCTAGAAAGATTTCGACGCGGTCCGTGAGGGCCGCGGTAGCATAATTGGTCAGTGCATTCGCCCGGATTGCGAAGGGTGCGGGTTCGAGTCCCGTTTGCTGCCTGGTCCGCGTGGATTTTTTTTCTAGTTATATTTTCTTACGATTTTAAAAGTTTCGATTCTCTGTTCTGGTCAAGTCTACAATGTATTACGTAGAATATTTCATTCTCAGAATTTATAGTACAAAAGTTACATGCACATTTTTTT